ATATATATATACGCTCAATTTAGCATGGAACTAGAAACCCCAGGATGATTTTCTCCCTCAGTAAGATCAAACGGCAGATTGCATTTCTTAATAACTCTGTCTCACGCCGTCTACTGTTTCAAATCACTTTTCCTTCTGTTCCCCGCTTTCCAAAGGACACAATAACTGCACATCAAACGTCCCCTAGCGATGAGTGGTGGGATTGAGAATAAAACCCCAATAGAGCCAAAATGCCAAGAGGTTTTTCAAACATGATGATAATCATAGTGCTGAAATAAAATGATTATGTTTTCAAAAGCCGTATTGTGACATAGGGGCACAGCCAAAGTAAGCGCACATTAAGTGAAATCTCATATATGGTCCAAACTGACCGTGTGCGTTCGTGGTTAGTGGATTGCTTTTCTCGGCCTCAACCACAACCAACTGACCACTGGAAAGCTAACCTCAGTGTCGATTACAGATTAACGAATGAAAAAGCGAATGACATGTATTTCCATACAAATCCTAGATCGTTAGATACTACAGACGTTGTATTGCGGATCACGTATTTTCTATTTTACTGTGGGTAGCACCTTCCACCTCAAATCTGCTACAAGCGAAGCAGATCACATTTGACTTAGCATTTCAGCTCTGGGTTATACATTTTATCCCTGAACCCTAGTGTAGATAGATGAATGTTTGTTTCTCTCGATGCTATTTGGAATCCATTTTTATGACACAACACCGGCGCGTCGATAAAAAGTAACATTGATTCTGACGAACACAAATAATATGCTTTGCATATTTTGGCTCGATGCCTGAGAAAACTGTAAAGATGTTTGAAATACTCTTTCGTCGGACGGACACAATTGGTTCACCAGCTTTTCCAGCTTCTATCTGTATTATCAGTATGCAGGATAGTTGACAAATACACGCCTTACGATATTTCATTGGATCACTTATCTCAATACAAACAGTAATTCATTTTCCGCGAGTTGCTTCATATGAATGTAATTTCTCTACCGGCCATTGTAGCGTGAGACGATTTTGTACGTGGGTTCGAAACACACGTGGCAGCTGATTCTTCTCAAAGGTGAACGGAAGCTACGAAATCTCAGTATGGTGCGACTTTGTCAGTTGAACATTCCTTGTTGTTTCTTGTTAGACTGAGCTACAGCTAAGGTAGCATTGGTCGTAATTATTGGGGAACTGGCGTAATTGGACGACTCAGTCAGGAGAGAACACTAGATAAACTACAAAACGCAGGATATAACGAGGTACTCACTGTGGATAATTAATTCCGTGCACTCATATTTCGTGAATCATGTTACACCGGTAATGTCACACCCAGTGGCATTCATCTTTCCTGAGTATATCGATATTATCGATCGATTTTCGAACGCGACGTTAACAAAATGTAAACGGTTAATTTGAAAAAAATGGTCAAAATAAACACTTGGTTTGGGTTGGGGACGACGTTGATTTTTCAGATCGAATGTTGTTGTACCTTCTAACTTTTACTTGAAGAAAATGTAGACTGAAGAGAAATCATTACTGTGGTCAACTGGAAATTTATCCGAAAAATTGGGCAAATGCGAAAATAGGCAAATTGATCACTTAGCTTTTCTAGTGATACGATTAAGTTTGTTATTACTATGACCATCTTATATTAGCGATATTTTCTATGGCAAAATGGAACATTTAATTTCATATTATTGAATATCCAGCTGGGAGTGAGCTCACAATGGTTAAACCAGTCTATTGTGCACTCGAACTTATTTTACCATTCTGCTGATGATACAATAAATCAAGAGAGAAATTACATTGGAAATTCCACACAGGAACCAGGTTTCTCACATGCAGTCATGTAAGGATCGAATAATCCGAATCGCGCACTAACAATCGCGTCTCGGGAGCAGGGTTTGATCTAACTCGGCTCATTGGCCACGGTGGTTGATCACACCCAAACGTAAAGCACTACAACCAAAGTAAAGTACTACTGCAACCTATGTCACTTCCATTTCAAACGAATCCTCTGTGAGTTCAAGTAAATTTCTCCATACGCCAATCCTCATAAGGTAAATAATGCTTGCGTTATCAAGCGTCGCATAGTTGTCGAATTCAACTTCCGTTTGCAATCATTTGGTATATCCACAAACAAAACTAATATATACGTGTTAGTGAGCCAGGTAAAGTGGAGGTTTGACCGTCCGGCTCCAAGGGAGGGAGGGAGGGCTTCTGTCTTTCATTTAACCACGGTAAAGTGAGACTTTAAACAGACTATGCGAA